CACTGAACTCTCTCAAAAGTAAGAAACTCTACCACTTTACATTTAATATAAAATTTATTTTAATAGTTTGGAAATTATGTGATAACTTATTTTTCGCAACAAATCACCGAAAATTCACCGCAAAGTAACACAGTTGGTGAGTTGAAAATGTTGCTGTGCGTACATCTTGTCCACCTTTATTAATCTGCTTCATATGCTTGTGTTCTATGATTACGTCAGTTTTATTTTTTCAAAAGTCTCATATTATATCAACCAATTTCTTATGCTGGTGTTCAACTTTGTGTTTTCTTCTTTAAACAGTGTCTACACCAAAATCCACTTCGCTTTGATTTACTTTTACATGACCAGGGGAATGAATATGTTAACATAAACAAATGTTTTATCGTTAGCGTAGTGGTGGCTGCACTTGACCTTTGATGACCTTTGCTGATCTTTGGTTCTGAATTAAACCCCTACATGGGTTTGAACACCGAAAGGGGTTGTCGGTTGATTTTAATAGTAAATGTTCTCTTCCTGTTAAGTGTACGCTATTTCGTAGTTATTGTTCAAATTTGTATTGTAGTTACCTATGGTCGGATTTTACTGTGGCAGATTTTAATCGTATTCGTGTTGCGTATAACAACGCTCTTAGAATTATATGTAATGTTTCTTGTTCTTTTAATAGTAGTATAACAGAGACTTTCGCCAGACTACATGTTGATGATTTTCAGGTTAAACTTAGAAAAAGTTTTTTGCAACGTATTTTGTTGAGTAAGAACTCTGTTTTAATCAATTTATTATCTAGTGATTTTTTTTTTAATCACGTATATGACAAATGTGGCGTGGTTGATTTTATTTAATGCATACTGTGTAATTTGTTAATATTTTTTTTTCTTACTTTTTATATGGGCTTGTCCTGAAATAAAAGATGATAATAATAATAATAATAATTGAGTGTCATTGACTCAATAGGTAGGACAACCCATTGGTTGAGTTTAATAAGGAATATGACATTGAAGGCCCAAAGTTATTTTTGTCACATTTCTAAAATCCAAAATGTACCAGTATGATTTTCCCTAAAATTTTGATATCTGTAACCATTGAGAACTTATGTCTATTTGGTTAAAAAATTAACAAAAAAATAAATACAAATTTATAAAATGATGCAAAAAAATTTAAGAGGAAAAAATGGTGGTAAACCTTTAATGTATGTAGTTGTCATTAACTTCTGTTATTGTTGATAGATAATGCCAAACTATGGTAGTCATAGGATAGAAAACCCATTAGTTAGATTACATCATCCCTCTATTTGAAATCAATCCAATTTACTTATAATTTTAATTAAAAAAAAAATTGTCTTTTCTTTGCTAGGCACTCCAAGAATTTCCATCACCCAATACTGAGTCCTTTGAAAAGCTCTGTATCCCTGGAGTTTGATCTGTTACTGGTACTGCTTCAGGCTGAAGTGGATATCTCACAGTGGAAGTTCCTGCAGTCGCTGCTAAAGATACACGAAGCACATTCCAAATCAGAACCCTGGCGAACGTTATTACGTCCTAAAGAGGTGAGCAGGGGAATAGAATGATCATTTTTCCTATGAATGCTTGCATCAGGGGAATTCATTATTTATTCCAATACATTTGTCTGGCCTTCTAAATTGGTTGGTGAGCTAACAAAATTGTTTTCTGAACACAGTGATAAATACACATAGCTCCAAATAATCAGAACAGAAAAGGTGATGATGATCTCTACTGGGTTCTTGATTTGCTAGATTGATAAGTTGGAGTAGTGATCTCTCTTCAAATTGAATGCATGAATTCGTCAATTTTTTAGAAGTTATTGGTCTTCTACTCATCATCACAATATATAAAATCTGAAAGTGCATTTCATAAAAATCCACCATTTCTTGGTTTTGAGTAAATTCGTTTCAAGGAGATGCATACAGATCTAGCGAACTGTTGCCTTAGCTACAGATGTGTCCCATGAATTCCTCCCAACACTGATGGAAATTTTTTTGATTTTGTAGATTTTGTAGTAGTTTTTTATTTTACAAGTCTCTGATGCATTTGGCTTATTCTTGTCTACTTATCTTCTTGGAGTTTCATACATGTATATTAAGAATGAAAATAACTTAAAGATTGTCACAACAATACACCTGGTCAGTTCTGTAATAATGACGTTTATTCCTTTCAACGTTTCGCCCTAGAATTAGGACTTCTTCAGGAAAACTGTTGTAAAACAAATAGATACAGTGTGTAAATGATTGTGATTGAAAATGGTACAGTGAAAATAACGTGATTACAAGTACAATGTATTTACAAAAATAATAATAATAGAAATGATTTGTTATCCTTCTCATCCAGGCAAAAAAGAAGATGCCTTCATCTCATAAATTACATGCTAATCCTCCATTGTATCTATGGATATTGAAATATAAAGATGCACTGGTTTCCAAGGTAACCAAATTTCTTCATCTTCACACAGTATTGGAAAAGCATAATTCTCGGCTAATAAATATATTATATTGTAAATAAATCAACAAACACAGAAACAAAATTTGACAATTTTTTCCATTTTGACTGAAGACTTTACTATGACCAGGAATTGTTGTTTGAATTTTTGTTCCAGGTTCTGACACTACTGTGTACCAGCCGTTACTGTAAATACATTAATTATTCACTGGATTTTAATTTTGTTATTTTCACAGACAAGTAAAATTTGTTAAATTAAATTTTTATATGTGAACATATAAAATAACAATAGAACTCCTTGTTTCCCAGCCAATATCAACACAGTGAAATTGAAGTGTAAACCTTTTTCCCATGATGCAATGCATGGAACAGATTGAAAATGTTTGTAATTCTTAACTCATGTTTTATTTAATGTTTTATAATAATTGCATTAATGGATAGTATCTCAGCGCTATCACATAGTTCCAAGTCCCAAAGTATTGTGGTTTATGTGTCTACCTGTATGCCCAATTGTACTGGATTCTGCTGTAAATTCGCCCATCGGAAAAATTGCCCTGGGCGATTTCACACCTGGTGGGCCCTTATTTGGGATTCAAAATTTCAAAAAATATCATCAAATATTTTAATTGAAAAATCCACCTACGCCGACTTTCAACGCCGGCAGTTGGGACCACTCAAAACGAAAGAAACTATTGCAGAAGCTAATCTAAAATTTCATACAATTTTTTCTTGCTGGATTTAAAATTAGATCGCCTGAAATTTCATTACAATATCACCCAACACAACTTTCTCAAAAAAAAAATCACATTAACAAACCTCGTGCACCAAATACAATTATTGTTCTCATTTTATTAGCAACGAAAGTATATTCTAAAAGAAGTTTCAAATAAAAACGAACGATTCTCTTCAAAGCTGGTGTAAAGACAAGTCGTAATTGGAGAAATGTGCACATTGATTTATTTTTGATTTGGTTGACCTTTGGTGA